GCGGAGCCCCCCCTCAGCCCATCGGTGCTTCGGGGGCCCCCCCCAGCCAAGCCTTGTGGCTCCTGAGGGATGAGTGTTAGTGGGACAGCAAAGAAAGTTGAAGACGAGGGGGTTTGGTCCATCTGGATGGGTTTGATTGGGTTCATTTTGCTTTTCCTGTTGGAGCAGGCATCAAAGTTGGAATAAGGTGGAGTGTGGGAACCTGGGACCGAAAGAGCGTTGGGGTCCCAGGTGGTTTGGAGGGGGCTGGGGTGAACTCAGGGTTGCTGCAGGCCAGGAGTGATGGGTGCTGGGCTGCCGGGGGGGTTTCGCAGAGGATGCTCGGAGATGCAGCTGTGGTGGGGCAGGTGAGAGGGTGCCCTGGCCTTTTTCTGGCCGTGCTGGCAAATCCTGGCTTGATGATGCTGCAGATCAGGAGTGACCTGTGCAGGCAGGGCCCTGCCTGGCTGTGCACGGCACCGGGAGCGCGCTTGTAAGAGGAGAGCCCCTAAATGCCGTTAAAAAGCTTTGTACCCTGCACTTGGCAGCTGCTGGGATGAAAAGAAGAGGATATTTATTCCCTTGTCCGCGAGCTCTCAAAATAACAGGGCGTTCGATGGTAGCCTCAAGATTGCTTTGCACTCAAGTGCAGCCTGGCTGAGTAAATCGCTGCTTCACCAGCTGAAATTCCTGCAGCAAGGGGGAGAATTGAATTACGGCCAACTGCAAAACCAGATGCCATCCCCTCGATGAAGTCATCGGGCTCTTGCTGCGGGGAGCAGGCTGGCTCCTACGCACACGCAGCCCTGGGAGGCAGAGGCCGGGCTGCTCTGTCCAAGGGCCCGGCCGCGGTGTGCGGGGCAGCCGGAGCCTGGCGTCCCCCGGCCGCGAGAGCGGCGAGACCTTCGGGGGGGGGCGCCCGGGGGGGGGGCGGGCCCGCTCCGCATGAGCATCTGGAGGGGTTTGCCTGTTTAATTCCCGGCAAGCAGAGCTGTCCCTGCGTATACGGGGGGTTTTATGGGTCAGGCAGAGAGCAAGCTTCACTTGAGCCCAAAGTATTTTCTCCTCCCTCGGTTTCCTCTCCTTCCTGGACAGCTGCTGACTTTGGTCCCCAAAGCCCTAGCAATGATCTATGGCGTTCTGGTTTTTGGACAAGCTGCCCTTTTTTCCTTGCCGTGTGACACGCTCCAGCCGGCCCTTTCTGAGATGAGGATGTCTCGCAAGCCCTTCAGAAATCCGTTCCTAAATTTTTGCACTATGAAAGCAGCACTGCGGATTTGGGCATTCTGTGCACTTCTTCGTACTTGGTACGTTGAAAAAACAAAGGGGAAAAAGCTGGATTTTATTTAGGGTTTGTGTAGCTTTGTTAGATTTGGGGTAGGGAGTGGGGGATCATTTTAAATGTGAAGAACAAGCCACGGCTGCAGAAAGCATATTCTTTTAACTTACAGTTCAACTTTACCCACCTGACATTTAATAACCAGGGTTATCAAACAAAGCAGCTATATGTTAGTCTGGTTTTTAATCAGAAAAATACCTATGCAAGCTGCAAAACGTAACAATATCGTTTAGAGAACAGTGACTGATAAAGGAATTTCATATGGAATAAAACGGTGGTAACCTCATAAAGATCAATTTGTGGAAATCTTTGACATCATCATCCTCATCATCATCCTGGACATGTGGCAGGGCGGTTCAGGGATGGATCCCGGCTCTTTGTGAGAGCATCGCTGTGCTGGGGATGGGAGGGCGCAGAGCCGGGGGGGGGGCTTCCAGCTAGAAAGGTACTTTTTTTCTCTTAAAATTAAAACCTGAGCCCGGGGAGGGGGGGGGGCAACAAGCAGATGCATTTAAAAATAAACCAACCTCTGAAGGTCTGTGGCTGTGAAGGAGGAGCAGATATTGTGGCTTCCACGGGGGGCAAGTCTGTTGCCGGATGGGATCCCAGCCCTCAGGAGGGATCCGCCAGATCCGTGCGTGTCCCGGGTGCAGCTCCAGCATCGGTCGGGTGCCCGCGTGGGATTCCGGTGGGCTCGAGGGGCTGCTGCCTGCCAGCCGGGCAGCTGCCACCCCCCGCCCT